GTAAACCTCAGTAGGAAACTTCCTGGGTTTTGTTGTCTATTTTACGCTTTGGTTTCGATTGCAATGTAACCCTGTGATGGTGTTTTCACTTGTATTATTCATGCTCTTCGCTTACCAAACGATTTTTCGTGAGATTCACGAGCTCTACCAAGCACTCCTCAAGGATCATCATCTCTACACCTCAGGAATTTCCCATGAGTATGTTCGGTGAACATCTGACATCTGCACACGCTGCCGCGGGCTTGCTGTTTGCGAGCCATCGTTAGGGCAGTACAGAGCGGTGCGACGTGCCCCGTGCAAGGGGAGGCTCATGGCGTGTAGGGGGAGTTTCAAACTTGTTTATAAATTTGTACCACAAGAAGGCTTTACAACTAAGTTGGTAGACTACCCCACGATCTGACTGTAACTTGTGGGGTGTAGCCCTACTTCTCTGTTTATACTCAACCATTACACAATACAGTCTAAAATATCTTATTGGAAAACAAAATGAGAATTATAAAGCTGAATTCGAACCCTATTTCAGATTCTCAAACACGCCACCCCCAAATCTACCTAGAAAGCAGAACAACCCCCCCACGGGAAAGCATACAGCCCAAAACAGACAAATCAAAATGTCAACGCTATGGCTGGCCGAATGTTAGAAAGATGAGCTTCCGCTCGGACTCGGAGCCGGAGCCGCCGCGGCCCGGTGAGTTCCGGGAGACCGTGACGCCGCCGGACCGTCGCCGTCGCCGTCGCCGGAGGGGAAGTTTTTTCGATGCCATGATAGCTCACTCGGAACATCAGTGTGACGCCGGAACCCACTCAGTTGAGTCCAGTCATGGTTGCGTACGGTCAACAATTTACACAATGACTTTGAGTGTTGCTGGAAAAAAAATATACTCCACTAGTTGGTTGTTCCATTCATCCAATACGCCTTCGGCGTTAATTACAACATTACTGTCAAGTAGGTTGCCGGGGTGCGATCGAGCAAACCCTCAGCTTTTAGCGAAGCGATTCCACGTCCCTCTCATCGCCCTCATAGAGATAGCTCAGCATCCTCCGTCTCCTCTTCTTCCAGTGGAAACGACAGGTACCACTCCAGCCACTCGTCTCTTATCTCTCCTCCTCTCTCCTCCTCCCCTCCCTCCCTCCCCTCCTCCTCCTCCTCCTCCTGCTGTATCATATGATCCCGTGCCGCACCCTCTCCCCCGCCGTCACTGCCTCCGGCTTCCCGAGGTGACTCGCGCTTGTAAGGCCACCGCTCTACTCCCAGCCTCCGGCATGCGCTCTTGAGAGACGTGAGCGAGATCCCCTGCCCGCATCCTCGTCAGCCCGCGCACAGTCTGCTCATCTGCTCATCTGCTCCTGCTCATCTGCTCATCTGCTCATCTGCACATCTGCTCCTCCTCCTCTTCCTTCTCTCCTCCTCCGTACATGCTGAGCCGAGAGACTTACCAGGAGCTTAGCGGCTTCGAGCTGTCGGAGATGGTAGAGAGAGGAGATGGTGGGGAGGTCAAGGCGGATTTGATCGCGACGGTCGGAGGTACGGGGTCGAGATTGGATGAAGACGGAGCGGGCGGGAGGAGGAGGAGCAGGAGCAGGAGCAGGAGCAGGAGCAGGAGCAGGAGGAAGGAGAAGGGGGTCTTGTCTTGTCATCAAGTATGTGTGCGAATCAGGGCTGTGTCGAGAGATTTGGGTTCCCCTCCGCAAGCTTGTACGGGGGAAGGGGGAATGTGCAGAGACTGAAAAAAGCTATGTTCATTCATACGACTGTCAGGAGGTCACTGGGTTGACATGTCAAGAAGCGAAAGAACTTGTTATCAGACTGGCTCCCTTAACTCACTGGCTCCCTTGTCTGATTGTCCTCGTACTGATTTTTAACTCAACTTTGAGTTCAGGCTCCCACTTCAGTAGGTGGAGGAGGCTGAGAGGGGTCTTGTCTCTACGAAAAGAGTCACATCAAGAGTACGACCGTCAGAGAAAGCTTCTGACGGTCGTACGATGAAAACAAGTCTTTTCAGTGCTCGGCAGTTAGATATGACTGTGTGACCCTCGAACATGACTCTTTTCAGCCACTGCCCCTTCTCCCTGCCTCCGCACAAACCTTCGAGGAGA